GATGTTGTCAACATCAAGGTATTGTAATAATTGTGTGAGAGGGTACTTCTTTGAGAATGGGAAGTGTGTAAAATGCACTGAAATAGCAAATTGTGATATGAATGGATGTATAAATACACAAAGGTATTGCAACACTTGTACAAATGGGTTTGTTGCATCGTATGGCGCTTGTGTTTGCCCAACGCAGCAATACCAAAACACGTCAAATTCATGTCGAAAGTGTTACGAAGGCACAGATAATTGCAAAAGTTGCGCAGGCACATCCACGTATCAAATCCAATGCAATGAATGTTTTTATCCATTTGAATTAAAAATGGGCAATGTATGAATTGTGCAACTGGGATGCATTACAACAACCAAACCAAAACATGTGTAAACAACACTGTTATGTGTGTGAATAATGTCGACGCAGCAACTTGTGTCAAATGCATAGATAATAGATTTTTAAGGAAAAATAACTGCATTATTCCTTCCGGACGGTGTTCATATTATACGTTATCAAATTGTGAAGATTGTGAATATAGTATTTCTGTTGGTTCAAATTGTGAAAATGTGATAAGACAATGCAAATACAACATACAACATGGATCAACAGAAACATGTTTGCAATGTGCAGACAATTATTATATAAACAACAACACATGTAATGTGATACTAAGCAACCAAAATACAAGAAATGGGTATGTGTACCAATGTGGTGTTAACGAGTACAAAGATGGCAACAATAATTGTGAAAAATGTGCAACTAAAAACGCAATAAAATGTTCATTCACAACCCCTCAGATTTTATCATTTTACATTTTAGATTGCGATAAAAGTCACATGATAAATCGCCAAAACGAAGAGTGTTTTAGTGATGATAATTGTATTTAAAATGAAAGAAGTGACTGCACACAATGTCGTGATATGAATATGGTGATCATGTCTAATAAATGCACTTAATGCACAATAATACCAAATTGTGAGTTGTACAAGAAAGACTGCACGTGTTTACAATGCAAAGGCAACTTTCTTCTTGTTGAAAACGAATGTATTGCAATAGAAGAGTTGCGTTGTGAACACTCAAACAAATTCACATGTTAAAGGGTTTCTTGAGGATAAGGTGTATCCTCAGGATTAAAGCTATCCTTATTAAAAAATATTTTTCTGAGGATACAAAAATCAAATCCATAAGGTTCAGTTCCCCATAAAGCCCACTCTCATAATTCAAGTTATAATTTACACTTAATATTTCGAGTCAAAGTTCAAATTTTAAATGATGGTGATAATTTGTCATAAATGCCAAAAAATTAAATACAACCAAAAAATCGCCACAATAATCAGTAAACAAAAACAATAATTATATCTCGCCAACTTGAGACGGGAAATAACAAAACATGAATTAAACTTGTTCACATTATAATTATAAATTTATTGAAATTATTTCCGAATCCGTCTTTATAACATAATTATTGAAATGTACGTTTAAATTGATAATTGTTTTTTTAATCAAAATGAAAATTTGAAAAAAGTCAAAACACTGATTTAATAATAATGCATTTTTAAAA